CATAGCAGGATTAGGAAAGTGAAGTGTCAGGACATGGAAAAGGACACACACATCAGACCTAGATTAAATAAGAACTGACAGTCACTGAACTGGCTGCATAAACCGACTTAGGAATGGCCATTGGTGTCTAGATGATGACAAGTCAAAGAAGAACATTGGCATTTGCAGTCCTGCAGACAATGTACAACAAGGAAAAGAGGTATAAAATTAGGGTAAAAAATCTACTGGAACTAATAAGTTAGTTTAGCAAGATCATAGATCAGGTACAAAGATCAATGGAACAGAACCCAACCGAGAAATTGACCCCTACATGTACACTGATTGATCGGAGCTGTTACAATTGCATCCAGATAACTCACTGGGGAAAAGACATTTTCTTCAACAAATGGTGTCAGAATAAACATGGTGAAAATGAACATTGGAGCTTACTCAACACCACACGTGAAAATTAACTTGAAATGAGTCATCGACCTTCACGTAAATGTTACAATGATAAATGTCCTGGAAGAAAACCTAAGATAAAATTTTAACAATCAAGGGAGAATAAAGATTTAATACAGAGCACATAACAATCATAAAGGAACAAAAGGACAAACTAGACTTCATTAAAATAAAAAACTTCTAACCTTGGAAAGAGCGTTCAGAAAACAAAAATGCAAGTTTCAGCCTGGGAGAAAATATTTGTGTGCTGTGCAAAGGCCCTGGGGCACAGTTGTGTGGAATCTGCAAACATGGTGGTAACCACAGGTAATTCAGAGCCACTCAGCTTGGTGTGTGAATGTGTGTGTCTGTGGGGAACATTCGCAGCGTCCTTCCATCCTCTGTCCTCCTTCAAGAACAATGCTCAGGTAGAAAACGGCTTTAATCTGAAATGAATAAGGAGGAAGTTTATCGTAAACCTGAAGTCCCAGATTTAGTTTCAAATCAAAAGTAGAACCAAGTACATTTGGGTGAAGGCAGAAGTCAACTCCTTACTCATTTCAATAGTTAAGAAGAGAGCCATTGGTTGATTCTATCGGACTGAATGGATAAGCCTTGGCCAGATATTCAAGGGATCAACTTTATTAAAATGTCTTGAAGGAAACGCAGACTGCGCTGTGGTAGAGGCTGCAGGTCTGACTTGGTTTAGAAACAGGTCCTATGAAATCTCTCTGTGGGGCTGAATTTCTTCATCTGCCATGGTCACACACCACTCAACCAACACACCCTGAGGCCTTCAGTAAGGGCATTCTCCCAGGGTTGCCTTAGTAGTGAGAACATACCAGAACAGAGAATTGACACGGGCTCTGCTGCTGTCCACAGTACATCCACAGGAGGGCGCCTAGAGCCCACGATTTTGTCTACAAATGCTTGTGTCTGCTCGGAGTCTACAAAACAATCAAAGGCCGGACGGAACTCCTGTTCAAAGGTTCAGACTATAGCCCACTTGCTCTGACCCTGGAATCGTCTACTTTACTCAACAACAGCTCATTGGCCACAGCCCTCAAATGCATGAGAAGAGTAGACTAATGAGATGCAAAGACAGGAAGGCAGGAAGTTCCTCCAGGAGGGGCTGACATTAATCTGGCCTTGGAAAAGCCCTCACCCTGCTCTGTAGGCCCTGGGACCACTGGGCTCAGGGAATCTCCTTCAGGCTTTCTGTCAACAGCTAAATGAGTTCCTAGTCAAAAGTATTCCCTGTAGGGAAGTAAGTGGCTTTCCTGTAAACCTATGAGGAGGGGCCTTGTAGATGGTTCACAAGTGGGATTTTTAGGGATGAGCAAGGATCATAAATTGAGGAAGAAAGGTTAATAAGTCATAAAATGGAACCATCTCCATGGAAATAAAGAAGAGGAGTGAGGGAACTGGTCAAGGTAGACACAGATGTACCAGTCCTTTGGGCTCAGGCTTGTTGAACTAGCAGAGCTGCACTTTAGGAAGATGGCTATATTTAAGTTTGTGTTTCTATGTTTGCATCACATAAATCCTATATGATGGACTTATACTGCTATTTATTTCTTGCTATTGTTAAGTATACAATAAAGTTAGTTTTGGGGGAAAGCACTTTAGTTAGCTCTGCTTAGGGAAACCCAAGTAAGAAGCTTTTAATTTTCATTATTTAAGATATATTTGTCATAGGAGAGGAGTAACTACACCAGGAATTGGCCTGGTGGAATAGCAGATGCAAAATAAACAAATTCAGTCTCGGAGGACGGGGGACTCAGAAGGATAGCTTGGAGTTCTCATGAGAATAGTTGGGGAGTTATAGATTTTTTTCTATATGATGGATTCAGTTACTTATCTCTTTATTTTTTCATACTATTTTTAAAGTTTATTTTATTAATTTTTGAGAGAGAGTGGGGGAGAGCAGAGAGAGAGACACACACAGAATCTGAAGCAGGCTCCAGGCTCAGAGCACAGAGCCCAACACTGGGCTTGAACCCACAAACAGTGAGATCAGACCTGAGCCAAAGTTGGGTGCTTAATCAGTTGACCCACCCACGTGTCCCAGGATTCAGTTATTTATAAGTAATCACTACAAAGCTCATCTAACTGGAGTTCTAATTTGGTTCAACAGGACTGATCTTTCAAACTGGATTCTCCCTCTCAGCTTCTTCCTATCTGACCACAGAAATCTTATTACCTTCCTTTCTCTGATTTCTCAGCCCTTTATTATACCCCATGGACCATGTTCTACCTAGGACACAGCACTTCTTTTACTCCCGAGAATGGCATGTATGGGGGGAATTTCTTCTTCTTATGGGGTTATCTGTTCTTGATCATTGTCATTTGTCTATGAAGATACCAAAATCCAGGTTAATGTGATTTCAGAAATGAAAAGGTCTGTCAGTTTTAGGCTGTCACTAAGTGGTGGTGGTTTTAGAGATGGGTGAAGCTGAAAAGCTGTCCTGATATTTTGAAATTTAATGGTCAAAATGAAGAATGACTTTATAGTCTCATGCAACAGAGGTTTATCTGCCCAGAAAGGAGCTTTTCTGATCTTGCAATTGAAGAGAATGGATTTCTTTTCATTCTTCCCCTTCTCTTACTTCCTTTCTCTTGGTGAACTTTTTTCTGCCTCCATTTCTTAGAATTTACTAACTGTGTAATCATAAGGAGAGAGAAAGACAATGATTCCAATGTTTCAAGGTTTCCTGAAGCATTTAGTTGAAAAGCAAGCTCTGTGGGAGAAATAGCAGGATGTTGCATTTGAGATGAAAGCCAGACAGATGGGTGGAGATGTCTAGTAAGGCCAGAGAATCCTGGTGGCCTGCAGCTCAGAGAACAGGTCCGCACAAACCCATGCTGAGTTCAATAGGGCTCAACTGGTACAAGTTGAGAGCTGATGCCTTCTTAATTTTGGAGAGCTGCAGAGAGAACAAACGGCTGAGGAGGATAGGATGTGATCATGGCATCATGGAATCTAAGGGAGAAGAGTCTCAAAAAAGAAATTTACAGAGTCTTCAGCTGAAAAAAGGAAGAGATCAGAGAAAGCCAAAAGCTTCTAGCAGTGAGGAGGCTGTTGGGGACTTTGGAAAGAGGGGAAATTCAGTAGTGCGGCGGGGTCAAACACTTGATTTCAAAGAGCTAAGGAAGGACAAGGTGGTAGGAAAATGAGGCAGTGACTGTAGACTATTCTTTGCTATAGGTAGTTAACTGAAATGGAGAGGAGGCATTGGGAGTGGAGAGCAAATTTGTCTAGGCTCAGAGAGACCTTGACATAATGTGCATGGTTGTTGCAAGAGGGAAGCAAAGTGACAATACTTCTGGTTTGTACACAAATGTGCCAATATTTATCCAAATGTTTTATTTTAAAAATGTTAAGGATTTATAAATACAATCAGTGAAAGTAAGCATTTTCTATGTTTCAAACGCACTCACAAATGTTTGCATTACAAAGTGTTCTCTTACCCACTACTGGTTCTCTGCTTCCTTCACCTCCAGAGAGCCCTCCAAGTTGCCTCCTCCCTTGTAGATAGTCAAGGAAGACCCCAGATCCTTCCTGCCACATTTAACTCCTCTCCAGGTAGTTTTCAGAACCACCATTTCAAGGTAGTTTTGAGTTAATAGCAATTTAATTTCTTTCTATAACACCAGTCAGACCCGAAAGGAAGGCTCTACTCTCTACCTAATTCTATCTCTTCTTGATGAAAGGCAGTTGCCAGCTAAGAGTGTTCCTTCCATTGGTTCTCTGCTAAGCCTTTTTTTTTTTTTTTTTTTTAAAGCGGGGAGAAGTGGAGGAAGAGAGAAGCAAGGGGCGACTGGAAACACAAGAGCAGATGGGAGAGTCTTGTCGTGACGGTGTTAGGAACGAGCGGAGGGGCGAGAATGGCATGAGGTAGCGGGACGAGTAACTGAAAAGGGCGCCAGGAATGGTGATGAAGGATGCTGATTGTTAAAGCCATTCACCAGCTGGAATCAACATCAGAGTCAACATGGAAATAATCAAGAAGGAAGTGGACAGAAAAACAGGAGAACGCAGACAGGAAAAGTTGGAAATGAAGAGAAGTCATCCTCTCTGAGGCAGCAAACGGCAGCAGAAAAGTGAATGGTGCAGGCATCAGGGAGATTTGGTCCCGGCAGAAAGAATGTGGACCCAGAGATGGCCCGAAACACTGGTGGAGGAAGATTTGGGGACTGCAATTCACTTCCAGTGCTTCAGTTCAGCATCATGGGAAGAGCAGTCCTTAAACTGAAAAGGAAGGAGGATGAGTTAACACAACCAACATGAGGGAGAGTTTCAGGAGTTGAATGTGAGATCAATAAAAGAAATGTTGAATGGCAACAAGAGCCTTGGTCAATTTGGTGTGACTTTGTGGTAGCCCGGTTGACCAGGACCTTGCAGCCAATCTGAGAAATGGAAGGTAAGGGTACCAAAGTCAGGCATAATTAGCATGACATAAGCCTAACTGGAAAGGATGGGCCAGAGTAAGGCAAACAGCACTGAAATGGTGAATTATGGGATTCCAGCTGGGTCAGAAAGTCAAGAGAGGGATAAGGTATAAATGATTAGAAGAAGATCAGTACATGGAGGCAGATCCCATCACAAGAATGGGCAGCCATGGGAGGCTATGAGAAAAATAAGGCAGAAACAGTCATAGAAAGCAAGTTCCAATTCAAGATCCTCAGAAATAAGTCATTTCTAAATATTTTATTTATTTTTGAGAGCGTGCAAGTGGGGGAAGGGCAGAAGAGGGGGACAGAGGATCCAAAGCAGGCTCCGCATGGACAGTGGTGAGCCTGATGTGGGGCTTTAAGTCATGAACCATGAGATCATGACCTGAGCCAAAGTCATATGTTTAACCGACTGAGCCACTTAGGCGCCCCACGAAGTTATTTCTAACTAATAGCATTCAAGGCATTCAAGACATACTGAATGCATGCCCTAAGGGCAAGGACTTGCTCCAAGGGCTTGCTCCAAGAAGAGAAGTTGCATGCCACTGATCTTTGAGGAAGTCTGAGGTGTATTAAGCTAAAAAAACGTCTAAGCAATTGTTTGTGTTGCTGTTAAGAAGCATTAGCGTGTAAAATGCTAAGGGAGAGGAAATATAAGGCAATGTCTTACTCTCTGACCCAGATGGAAGGGTGTTGGAAATTTTTAGAGACCACCGAGAGGTATACTAAGTGATGCTGTGAACAACACAGAAGAGGGGACAGATCTAGAAATAATGAAGAAGGGCTGAGGCAAAGTGACTCTCCTTCCTCCGTTGGGTAGAACATGACAGGAAAAGTGAGACCTTCTTTGAAGAAGTCCACAAGAGATGCGGTAGACCCAGACACTCATTTGGCCATTGCCCAAGGTTGACATATATATTTTTTACTTGCCGTGATGTGTGAAGGAGAAGATTTGGATGCTGAGGCTTTAATGGACCCCAAATATGATGTTCTGCAGGAAAATCTCTGGAGAAGATCTGACTTCTTGTCATACACTTGTGTCCAGAGTAGATGGTGACAAGCCAATCTAGGGTCCCTCGAAGTCTCTCGGGGTTCTCTCTCCCTCCTGCTCACTATCTGTCTCGGTCTCTGCCTCCTTTATTTCTAGCTCTTTCTCACTTTTCAGGAACGATTGAAGCTTCTCCACTAGTATGACCAAACATACCTTGTTAGATCATAGAGTTTGGTGCTTGTTTCAGCTAAGTCCCCGGCTAAGCGCTTGCTTTCCACAGCAGCCTTCGTACAGATTGGGATGTACCCTTCAGGAGAAGTATACATTAGTTCACTTTCACGGAACATTAAATTTCTTTACAAATTGTCAAAACTATCAGTGTTAAATTTGTTAACGTGAACATGGTTTTATTGTATTGAAGGTGGCCTCTACCAACAGACAACTGATTTACTCTAAAACAAAATACAGACTTCAGCCATAGGAAGTTGCATTACATAATCTGTTCTCCCATTTTCACTTTATTTCTTTGAGAATTCGGCCCCACTTTCAGGAGAGGACAAAATCATGCTTCATGTTCTTTTCTTTCCCCCTACACATTGTTTCAGAGATTAAAGGATTTAGTTTTTCCTCAGACATTGTATGCAAATTTCTTTTCTGATTCTTTTATGATTTTTTTCTTCCTCCCTCCCCCTCTCTCTTTCCTTCTTCTTTCCTTCCCTTCCCTTCCCTTTGTCTTTCTTCCTCTCTTTCTCCCTCTCCTTCTCTCTTTCTTTCTTTCTTTCTCTCCCTCTCTTTTTCTTTGTCTCCCTCCCTTTCTTTCTTTCTTTCTTTCCCCTCCCTCCTCTCTCCTTTCCTTCCTTCTTTTCTTTCCTTCTTTCCTTCCTTCCTTCTTTTCTTTCCTTCTTTTCTTCTTCCCTCCCTCCCTCCCTCCCTTCCTTCCTTCCTTCCTTCCTTCCTTCCTTCCTTCATCCTTCTTCTCTTTGTGCCCAGTTGGTACCAAGATACATGCTAGGTATTAAGGTAAGTGCTAAGTGTTAAGGTTCTATGCCTATGGATGCCCTGCTACTCTTTCCTCAAACCCTCATTCTAAAGAAAACTTTCACATGAAAGTCCAATCCAGGGCTATCTTCCAGTATAAAATTCCAGAATGCTCACTTAGGAATACCTCCCTTAAAACATAGTGTTCGTTCCAAACTTTTCCATGATCTATTCCAGTATGTCAACAGCAGGTAAAGTCCTCCCTACCATGCTTATTCAAGGCATCTCTCATTTGGTTTTGATTTGCTTTAATATCAACCTTACAAAATCATCTTCTAAACCATATTTCCTCTTTTCAAACATGGACTCCTTAAAATTTCAAAATATTTCATGAGTGCCTGGGTGGCTTAGTCAGTCAGTTAAGTGTCCAAACCCCAGTTTTGGCTCAGGTCATGATCTCAAGGTTTGTGGGTTTGGGCTCCACGTCGGGCTCTGCACTGATGGAGTGGAGCATGCTTGGGATTCTCTCTCCCTCTCTCTCTGCCCCTCCCCTGCTTGCTCTCACTGTCTTTCTCAAAAAAAAAAAATTAAAAATATTTTTAAAATAATTCAAAATATTTCAGTTTCCCCCTTTAAATGGTCACAGTCCTGTTTGTCACTTCCTTAAAAAAAAAATACACTATACAACTTCCTTTGCCAAAAGGTCTTTGTCTTTCTTGTCTCTGACTTTGTTTCCTCAACTGCCATGCAGAACCATTTTGAGTAAGTAAGCTCTCTTTAAGCTCTCCCTGTCTTTGTACTTTGGACTCTCTTCATTTGTCGCCATCCACAGGAAATCAGTAAAATCTTTACAGTGATGCCACTTCCCTTCTCTCTGCCCCACGTGGCCCTTGTGTTCTTCTCATGGGTAACTGAACTCTGCTTTGATCATTTTAGTGGGCTTCACTCACTCTAATGTCCTGAGACAGCTTGTCTCTCAGCTCTCCATTGTCTGGCTGTGTCCTGATTTTTCCATGTTTGAATGCAATGCTCTGAGAACATGCACGTGCCTGTGTGCACCCACACACAACTGAAATGTCCTTTGGCCCCAGTGATGTCTATGGTTAGGTCACTCTCTTGTCATCTAATCTAGTTGTTAAGGTCCTTTTTTCAGTTTGTTTCTAGACCAAGAAAGTAACCACATATAAAACACTATGATATGAATGAAGAGCCATTTAGGTCTATCTTTCTCCTGGTCGGCTGTTATGACATGAACGTTTCCAGAAAATCCTAGGAATTGGATGAAATCTAAACCCAAGTACCTGGATGCCTTTCAGCACTGAGGGGACTCTCAGGGACCAAGTGGCATTGTTTGGTCTGTTCATTTTAAACCACTTTCCTACTACAGGGAATAAGATGATGAGAAGGAACTTTATAATAACCTACTTTTCTCTCCTGATTTCTAGGGAAAAAATATTTTAAAGCCTAAAATCTACTTGGTATATCTAACTCCTTATTTCTTTCTTTTCCTCTTCATGAATAAAAAAGTATAATTAGTCATCATCCTCTACACAGAAATATTTTACATGCTGTTATTTTGTCTTTTTAAATTTCTACCAAACACTGAAAAGGTGGTTTGGTGCAACAACTATTGAAATATGTGAAAATTTTTCTTAAAGTCATGTTTTTAACTATTATTTCATTTTATTATGAAATTCTAAAGTATATGATAAATAAATTTCAATGAATAATTTTTTTTTTTTTTTTTTTTTTACAAATAGTTTATTGTCAAATTAGTTTCCACATAACACTCAGTGCTCATCCCCAAAGTGCCCTCCTTCATGCCCATCCCCCCCTCCCCCCCACATCCATCAGTCCTCAGTTTTTGTCAGCATTCAAGAGTCTCTCATGGTTTGCCTCTCTCCCTTTCCCCCACCATTTCCGCCCTTCTTCTCCCCCTTGGTCCTCCGTCAAGTTCCTCCTAATCCTCCTAGACGTGCAAACATATGGTATTTGTCCTTCTCTGCCTGACTTATTTCGCTCAGCATAACACCCTCAAGGTCCATCCATGTTGCTACACATGGCCAGATTTCA